TAGGTGGGATCTAATTTCACAATCGGGAACAGCAGGGGAGGAAAGCTGCAGGCGGCCGTGACAGCGAGACAGATTTAAGCTCATTTCTGCTCCAGGCTCCGCCAAAGAACTGCATTTTACATAATTGAGTCACGGAGCGGCTTTAGAGGTATTGGAGGTATTAGGAAATAATGTTATAAATAAAAAATCCTTATTATTTAACAGTGAGACTCAAGCCTCACACTGTGCGCTGCTGCATGGTGGCATTGTGTTTTCCAAATAGGTTTTCTTGTAAACAGGAATTATGATGTTACATGATATGGATTCAGCAAGGTGGTGCAAACTGGCACTCATGAACGTGTGCAGAGCGATCAGCAGCTCCTGCCTGCAGTGCACCAGTTATAACTGCCACTAAATTGTTTTAATAATAAAGAAAAGTTGATGCAATTAAAATAGATTTAATTAAAGTTTAGTCAGAGATGAAAAATGTCGACTCTCGGGACGGACAGACAGAAACTGTAGAAAATGAAAATAAAAGGACGGATTTGCTGATCTCCAAAACCCAAGAGCATCTCAGAGAGGCAGTTTTTCAGAAGTATAGGCAGGCAGAGGTTATTACTCTGTCCCTACATCACTAAATCTTCTCCTCCTGCCTGGCAGCTCCATATTCAACATCCTTTGCCCAGTATATGCTCTATCCCTCCTCTGCACATGTTCAAACTCTCTCAGCCTCGCCTCTAACTTGGTCTCCAAACTGCTGAGCTGTCCCTCTGATGGACTCATTTCTAATCTTGTCCCACCTCCTCCAGCTTCCTCTGTTTTTGACAGTGCCACCACCTGAATCCATACACCACAGCAGGTCTCACTACTATCATGCAAGCCTTCTCTTTCACGATTGCTCCTGTCCTTTATCGCAAAACACCAAAAGATTTGGAGAATCTGTAGAAATCTCTGTGCACGAGAGACGAGGTCAGCATTAAATGTTAAAATGACCTTTGACAAATAATTCCCACATTTGAGTTTTCTATACAGCACTGGTGATGTGAAATCAAACACTCGTGCTGTTGTTTTTCCTTACAGCAAAGCCAGTTTTGCCAGTTAAAGCACCACCAACCTGCCAGTGAAACATTTAGGACAGACTCACTGGATATCAGAAGTATAGTTTAACCCTGTGTTTCCCAACCTTTTGGAGCCACGGCACATATTTCACATTAGAAAAATCACACGGCACACCAACAAACAAAAATGTCACAAAAATCATATTGATAATTTTCCCCGTACACCAGGTATAGCAGAAATGGCTCGGTTTGTCCCCTGTATACCTTTTTTGCTTTCTTCTGACCATGTCATGGTCCTGAGTCCGTGACTCAGTGATTTTGTGTTTGGTGTATTTATTGTTGTTGTTGTTATTATTATTATTTGTGGGCTGTTTTGGATGCTGGGTTTCTGGGTTTGTGCTCCCCCTGTTGGTCCCTGGTGTTAGTGTTCCCCTGTCTCGTCAGGTTAATCAGGTCCAGCTGTGTCTCCCACCTGTGTGTGATTTCCCAGTGTCCCTCTGTGGCTGTATCCCAAGCCTTAAAGTACGCAGCCTCAACGGCCCTCAAGGGCCGCTACGGGCCGCTAAGGCCGGAAGTGCGAGGCTTGTGAAATGGGACGGTCTAGCCTCCGTTGCGCTGCCCAGGTTGCCTAGCAACCATGATACTAACAGCT